GCAGCACATTCCTAGGAAAGAAGAAAGAAAAGAATAAGACAGACAATGATCTGTTAGCATAGGCCACAAAGAGTTCTCTTGGTTTTAGTACATGGAAGTAAGATGTTCTATGATCGGAAACCTGCACCTCAAAAGACTGGCTGTAATTTTATCTTTATATTATTTTACTCAACTATTTATAAAATTCGCTTTGGAAAATTAAAATGTACCTCAGTATATAAAGAGAAGCAAATAACAGTCTTCTCTTGCTTATGTTACAAATAGCAGCTAATGGTAGTCGATCACTTTCTAAGTCCAGGCCCTAAAATATGCCATTTTGCACATGATCAAAGCCCCAATTATCGCTTAGTTCCCATTTTATAGGGAGCAATAGGCTTGGAGAGATCAAGTAACTTGCTTTCACATTCCACTGTTAGTCACTGGCAGGGCAAATATTTAAATGCATGCTTTTAACCTTTATAGGATGCTGTTTTGAGTTTTAAATGGCAGGCGTGGAGTGACAGCTGTTCTGAGAAAAAAAGGAAAACCACAAAAGGGAAAGTGAAACAGAGGAAAGGTCATTAGGACCACTCTGCCATCTTCTCTTCCTGAAGATGTGGGCTCGTCACAGAGCCTCTGGGAAGTCTGGGCCCTCTGTTAATAGTGAAGAGCACTCTCCGATAACAGTGAAGAGCCAGATGGGCGTTCTGACAAGAACGTTCCAGATTGTGGAAATGGGGTAGAGGAAAGCAGTCAGATTTATTAAAGTAAAGTCTGGTATTCTCCACCCAGAAGAAGCAATGAGACTGACAGAGGAGAGGTGCTATCTGCTGAGATGCCTTTGAGAGACTGAGCACATAAGCTGTGCTCCTCACCTTTAATTTACTTAAGAGTCAGTCAGTTTCTTAAATGTTAGATGTTCAATGCCCTTAAAGAGTTCATTCAGTTGGTCTGGGTAAAGTCAGAAACTATGTTTTCTTTCTTTCTTTTTTTTTTCCTACAAATTTCTAGGTGATTCTGATGTGTGTGTGTGTGTGTGTGTATTATATTGAAAAAATATGAAAAAAATATATATCACATTTCTTCAAGACAGGGTTTCTTGGTGTAGCCTGGCTTCCCTGGAACTCTCTCTGTAGACCAGGCTGGCTTCAAACTTTCAGAGATCTGTCTGCCACCGCCTCCCAAGTGCAGGAATAAAGGTGTGCACAACCACCAACCAGCTAAGAGTAATATTTTGAGAAATACCAACTTAGAGTGTAGAAGAAAAAGAAAAAAAATGGTGAAAGAGGGTGAAGACTTAGTAAGAGAAATATCCCAGTATAATTTGAAGTTCTTATCTATGTAATAGGTTGTAAATTATTTTAAATATAGCTGTAAAACAGAATTGAACTTCTTTTGTGGATGTGTTCTGGTATGTGCATGCATGTGTACATGTGCACGCGCACGTGTGTGTGTGTGTGTGTGTGTGTGTGTGTGTGTACCCTATCTTTAGAGAAATCAAGCACATGCCATTGCACCTTCTCAGCTGGTGCTGGAGATCAAATTCAGGTTCTCATGCCAGTGTGGCAAAGCACTTTACCTACAGAGCCCTCTCCCTCCGACTTGCTACTTCTGCCGACGTACCATCTTCTCTCCCCGGTGCCAAGGTTTCTATCACTCAATTCCAAAAATGTTAGTGTCTACCTCCCAAGAAAGCCCATCATTGTCCCAATGAAAGAGAACTGTTAGGCATATTAGAGTATTTTAGAATGGCATGCATGTTTATTGATTTGGGTTTCATTATGCTTTCCCTCTCCTTTGTTTTTTTTTTT